AGTGGAGGGTTGGAGAAAAAGAGGAAGACCTCCAAAGAGATGGATTTAGACAGTGGTAGCATCAATGGGCTCAAATGTAGCAATGATGGTGAGGTTGGCCCAGGATTGGGCAGTGTTTTATTCTGTTGTGCATAGAGTTGCTATGAGGCGGTACTGACTCAATGGCGCCTACCAACAACACCACCAACTAATAACAAGGTCGGCTTTCAAACTCACTAGATGCTCCTTGGAAATTCTATGTATGGTAGTTATGAGTTGGAACCAATTCAATGGACTTAACAACAACACCGAGGAGAGCAATCTTTACGTGTTCCATTTCATTTTTGACAGCTTCCAATTTTGTTATATTCGTACTTCATATATTCCAAGTTCTGATTATTAATGGATGTTTGCAGGTGTTTCTCCTCATTTTGAGTTGTCCTACATCAGCACGTCCCTGGAAAGCTTTACTCAAATCTTATCATCATGATCAACTCTACTTTTGAACAGGTAGCTTTTTCCCAGTCATATTTTGAATGTCTTCCAACCTGAGGTGCTCATCTTCCAGCACTATATCTGACAATGTTTTGCTGCTGTTCATAAGGTTTTCATTGTTTAAGCATTCCAGAGTGGTCTCCTTCTTCCTAGTCTGTCTTGATCTGGAAGCTCTTCTGAAACCTGTCCCCCATGGGTGACCCTGGGATGTAGTTAAAATACTGGTGGCATAGCTTCCAGAATCACAGCAACATACAAGCCACCACAGTATGACAAACAGACGAGTCATGGTCTTTAGCTATAAACCCTTATATTCTCTCTCCCTAACCCTTCTTTTTCTTTCTGAAGTATGGTGAAACACATCAAACCATCAGATCAATTAATCTGCTAATATGAGTGATTCGGTAAATTTCTTTAAAGTGTATGGATCACAAAACAATGTCATATGACACTTAATGCCATTATGACCTCTAAAGTACTTTGGTGGTGCCACTAGTGAACATTCTTGGCTGCTAACTGAAAGATCAATGGGTCAAGTCCATTCGAAGATGCTTCAGAAGCACAGTTGTACTCTGACACATGAGGCTGCGATGAGTCGCAATCTACTAGCCAATAACTGAATTTTTATTGTTGTTGTTGTTGTTATGTGCCGTGGAATCGGTTCCGACTCATAGTGACCCTGTACAGGGCTTCCAAGGCTGTAAATCTTCACGGGAGTAGAAAGCCTCATCTTTCTCCCACGGAGTGGCTGGTAGTTTCGAACTGCTGACCTCACCTAAAAAATTTACGATGATCCTTAAAACCAAAAGGAACTCAGCAACAGTATACTTTAAGAACTTTTTTTTTTTAAGTAAAGCATACCAAAAAGGAAGGAGCTCTGGTAGCGTAGTGGCTATGAGTCAGGCTGCTAACCTCAATAGTGAGTAATTCAGCAGTTCAAAACTACAAACATTCTGCAGGAGAAAGATGAGGCTTTCTGCTCCCATAAAGATGGACAGCCTTGGACACCCTATGCAGGGTCACTGTGAGTCAGAACCAACTCCACAGCACATAATCACATAATCATACCAAAAAGTGCACAGATTCTCACTCTAAAGAGCGACACATTTTCACAAATATATACACTACAAACCATCTTCTACTTCTGCCTACTTGTCTACTAAGTCGGTTCTCAGAAATCTCTGGATGTCCCTGGCAGTGGTTTCAACGCTTGCAGAAAGAGTGTTAAGATCAAGGAAGGCAGGTATCTAGCTGTACTTTCACAGGATCTCCGAATTCCGGGATGAAACATGAGGATTTTAGAGGCAAAGTCGCACCTTACCAGTCAAGTTTCAAGGAGCTTGGGTAAGTCATTAATTTTAAGATTCAGGGTTCTCATCTTTTATATGGGGGAATAAAAATACCTCCTCCAGCAGTTGGAGGGAGTATAGGACGGAATTATTTATTACATATAACATGCATGTATACTATGTTGTTGGTGTTGTTGTAGCTGCAGTTGAGTCCATTCTCATTCATGGTGACCCCTGTGTGAAGAGTACTGTCATCCGAGGTGTCTCTGGGGTTGGTGGGTTTGAACCACAAATGTTTCAGCTAGTTGTAGAGCATGTGTTTGTGCCTCCCAGGGACTTTAGAGACACTGTCTCTATTAAATGCTATGAAGTTGGTTCCGACTCATAACAACCCTGTATAAGGTTTCCAAGGCTGTAAAGCTTTGCAGCTGGTAGGCTTGAACCACTGACCTTGTAATTAGCAGTCCAGTGCTTAGCCTATGGAACCACCGCGCTCCATTACATATATTGTACAACAAAAACTACCATACAGATATGGAATTCTGGTGTGGCACTGTTGGTTAATGCGATAGACTGCAAAGTCTGCTTGAACCAGGAGGTCTGCGGTGTAAGTTCACCAGCTACTCCTCAGAAATCCTATACAGGGTTGCTATGAGTCGGAACCTGACTCTACAGTACTTACCAATAACAAAAACGATGGTTATGTGGTGGCATTGGACTGATCTTATTGTTATAAATGCATATTATTGTTGTTACATCCCATCTAGTCAGTTTTGACAAGCTATGGACAACATTGTGAAGTGTGAGTATTCCGGAACACTTAATTGTGCTCA